AATTTCAGATTTGGAACAATCAAGGGCAAGTTGGGAGAGTGAGGGTTGGTGATAGTGACAATGAATGCAGGGGTAGGGAAACTGGTGAGGAATTGTGAAAATTTTTGTTATCAACGAAGAAATCTCATTCATCTATAAATAGGCATAGACACAGGTATAATCATAGAATAGAAGGAAGAAAAAGAGAACGCACCTATGGTGGTGGCAAAGAGTGGTGGGAGCGTTTGGGTGGTGCCCGAAGACAGCGGTGGCAGACAGTGGCGGGAGTACTTAGGAGGTGGCAGGGCAGAAGAGGTGAGGAAGAGATAGCAGGGTTAGCCCAAAAAGAAGTAGGAAAGGGAAGATTTGAATTAAGAGTTTCATTTTGATTTTTATAGTTTTTAATTTTTTTAATTAAGAGTAAGGACAAAAATACGCAGAAATATTTTATAAAAATATTTTGTTTATATTTTTCTCCAGCAAAATATACCTATTTTTCCTTTAAATCCTGTCAAATAATGAATAACTCTGAAATGGCAATGATGTTTTGATACTCTTATAATTTTACGTGAGTTTAGTACCATGTTTACTTGCTCTTATAATTCAATTTAAAATAAATAAAAGTGAACGGTTGATTACAAAATGAATTTCATTCACAAATTAGGTTTATAAATTTTAAACCTTAGTTAATAGTATTGACATAACATTTACGTCACACGTAGATTGATTGAGTATAATTTTGCTTTGCTTATTTATATTCCTTTCTCTTTGATCGGGACTCATGAGTTTCGTTCTATTTATACTCTTATTCCTTAGATGGGGTTTATGTACTTTTATACTCATAAGTCTCACATCATTTAGGAGTTAAGGTCAAAGATAATTTATAGATTAGAGTTTTAAAGCGGACAATACCTATGAGAATTAACTCTAATGATATTATCATAGTGGACATGAAACTAAAATATTTTCTTTTCTAGACGAAACATCGATACCCACCATAGATCCGATAACCTAATCTCGCTTTAGTCACACCCCTTAGGAGTTTTATGTTCTGATATGCTCATATGTCTCATGTTAGAACATTGACACCCACCATAGATCCGATAATCTAATCTCGTTTTATTCACATCCTTAGAAGTTTTATGTTCGGTATGCTCATATGTCTTATATTAATTATGATAACATCGTTAGAGTTAATTCTTTAATACTCTAAAGTTATCCTTTGATTTGTAGTATTACCTTGTAAGTTACCTACCCTCTGTAATCCTTAATACTTCTTTATATTGACTACTCTCCTTAAACCTAGACTTTTGTCTATAATCTCCTATGTTTGGTTATTATTCATTCTTTATATAACACACATGAGGTTAGACAAGATTCTCAAGATTGTATTCCTGAAATAAAGAAACTTATTACATGACCGATCCATAAGGTCAATCACAATGGATTATTTGGACACTACACGACCTCGACCTCAAGTGTTGAATGTTAAGGCTTTAAGGGGACCATGTTGTCTTGTCTAACATTAACATTTATAAGTCACTATTTGTGTGACACAATAATCCAAGACATCTTATATAGATCGAATGTCGCTTCTCATATGATAACTCACGTTGGTTGTTTAGGCGAGAATACGTTCACCACGTATTATTACTCTTGTCACGTGTTTATTATTATTAGAAGTCCGAGATGCCACCAAGATGAAATTGCCAAAATGTATGTTGTTGGATTCGCTAGGGCATGGAGCAAATTATGATTATGTTTTCGAAGCCAATTTGTCTACGATGGACCCTTCAAGAACGTGGTTAATGGGCAAATAATAAACAAGGAGGACTAACTTATATTATAGTTAATTTGACGATCATTGTATTCATGTTTTGTTGATTTTAATTTCAATGGTGTCTTAGTTTGTTATTATATATGTCTTGTATATGTGATAAGTGAGTATAGTAAATTGACATTATTGGATCATTGTGTAGAGTTAAACAACTTCGTTAGGTCATCGTGTTGAGTAGACCGACCTTGTTAGGTCATTATGTAGAGTATACTCGATCTTTATTAGGTTCTCGTGTAGAGTAAATTGACTTTATTAGGTCATTATATAGAGTATATCAACCTCGTTAATTTATCGTATCAAAACTTTAAGATAAATATGCATAATGTGAAACCAGACTAAAATTAATAAATAATTATTTGAAATATAATTTTAGTGTTTCATGTAGTACTCTTTTCTCCTCTTTTTTTAAGGAAAGATATTGTTAAAATATTTTTTATTATTTTTTAATTTGAGAAATTAAAATATTTTTTACATAAAATTTAAAGATTAAAATCATAATTATTTTAAATTTCAGAAAATAAAAATACAAGTAAGCATGGTTAATTTTATAATTGAAGTGCTCTAAGTGCAGTTTAAAAAATAAAATTATACTTTAAATATTTGAAAAGTAGAATTACATGAGATATGAAATGTAGATAAAAAATAAGTAGTTGAGAATAT